AAATTTATACATGGCCTCGCCATGCATGGCTTCTCCAACACTATGATTCATGATTCGCCGGAATATTATCTCGAGCTCCGGCGGTCAATTCTATTCCTCTTTCTTTCTTTCAGCCCCTTTTTATCCTTTTCCTTTTCTTGTTCCCGGAAGGTAGCTCCTCCATCTCCACACCCTGCAAATTCCTCTTTTGATCAATGCATGCAATTACGGGCTAGTCATCACCGCCATGCATCACCGTAACCACCACTAACCATAGGAGAACAACTTTCTTGAGTTCATTTAAATCTAAATCCCATCTCGCCGTCGTCATGTGTGACTAAAGTCGTCGAAAACAACACTCCGGTTAATAATGGCAGATGAAAGTTCTGACAGTGATGAGAGAATCAATGAAGATTTGATGACAAAATATGAAGACGATAATCGATATTTAACGTGGACGGAATGCATTGGTCTCGAAAGCATGAACGAAACATAAAAAACGGAGGAATTAGAATCTTCGGCAACTCCGCCGGGACGTACTACAGTCGAATCAAGATCAAGAAACACTGACAAAACGACACAGCCCAAGGAATTTCCGGCAACATTGCTAAGTCTGGCCAAGAACGGCCAGCCGAGATTCTATCTGGTGAAAACAAGAGGCAACGGACGGCTACAAATAGTGATGGTTCCGACCAATCATCCGGCGGTTCTGGTTGAACGGACCCCCGGAGAAGGTGACAAAGTCAGAATCCGATTCAACAATGATGACGATTTTGATCATTACACTTAAACCAGTGTGTAACCAAGAGTGTTCTTCAAGTAAAGAATTAGGGTTTCAGGAATATTATTGGAGTAGAAAGTAAAAGAAAGATCAACATAGAGGTATTTCTCAACACAAGTAGAAGAGAAGCACTTGCCTAATCCATTTTTCCCCCAATTATGCAAATATTAATCGGTAATGCAATGAAAAAATATTTGTCCTTTGTCATGTCAAGTCTAGTTGAGCATGAATTTTGTATTATGATTTGCATTTTACTAGAATTTTCATTTATGAGACAATGAAGAACAAAAACATTCTTTAAAAAAAAATAAAAAAAATATCATTTTCCTTTTATTATACACTTTAATTATTTGTTGATCTTGAAGATGCAGCATCAACATTTTTGGAATGCTCTGGGTCTTTCTCTATTCACAAGTTCAAAAGGGCTAAAAATTCTAGACACCATATTTATTCAATTCTTAAGTAGGTAGGGAACAATCAGCCAAGAGAAGAAGGATCAAGAATATTGTTGTATAATTTATCCTCCACCTCCATTCTAGATGAATCTACCACCACTATCTTTTGTCTATATATATGTGTGTTGGCTATGTATGTGTGTGGGCAGAAAGTGTGAGAGAAGGATAGCAGAAAGAGTAAGTGGCATAACAGTGATGAAGAGTGAAAAGAGAGAGAAATAATAGTGGGAAAAAAGAATTGGAGTGTGAAAAATAAAAGTGCTTGTGTGTTTACAAAATAAATAGTGAGGTTTCTTAGTGTGTTTGGTTAGTGTATTTGGTGTGTGTCCAAAATTGTGTAAATTTTATTTCATCAATAAAAATTATTGTCATTTGGTGTTTAAATTCAACAAAATGGTATCAGAGCTAGGCAGTTGGAAAATGTTAAGACTTGGGGTCCATCTTAATAAGGTCAACTTTATTAAGAGGAGTGTCCCAATCCTTTATATATTGGTCATTATTTCGGTATTTTACCAATGTGGACCTTATTAAGATGGGCCCTAAGTCTTAACATGGTATCAGAGCTCATTAAACTCCAACGAGCGATTCGATCCGATTAAGTCTCTAAAAATGAGCACACGAATTTCAAGATTGGTTTGCTCAAACGAGCCACCATCTTGCGGGGGCATGTTAAGAGAATATAATCCCACATCGATAAAATATCGAAATAATGACCAATATATAAAGGATTGGAACACTCCTCTTAATAAGGTTGACCTTATTAAGATGGACCTCAAGTCTTAACAGAAAAGAGCTTCTCGAGATTGTGCACAAACAGAGTTTGTGAAGTTTTATAAAACTTGCTTGATTACAAGGAGGTAAATCAAGTCACGATAAATGACTTACAAGTGGTAGGCGGAGTAAAGAAGCTCAATAATCATAATTATACCACATGACAAATTTGCATGAGGTCACATCACCTAGGGCAAGATCTGTGGGAAGTAGTTGGTGGAAGTGACGTGACGTCGCCAGAAAAGGTCGGAACTCTGAAGAAGTGGAGAGTCAAAACAGGTAATGCTTTGTTCATTATAAAAACAACAATTGAAGAAGAATTGTTAGAGCACATAAGAAACAAGACTACACCAAATGAAGCATAGGACACTTTAGCCTCACCATCCTCGAAGAAAAATGACCTGAGGTTGCAATTGTTGGAAAATGAGCAGCTCTCGATTACTTAATGGGAATTAACGGTAAGTTGATATTTTACTAAAATTAAATATCTTTGTCATGAAATGAATAATTATACATGGATTGAAACCTGAATTTAGAAGTTTCATTGCCGCAATACAAGGTTGGCCAGAGCAACCTTCAGCGGTCAATCTTGAAAATTTGCTGGCCGATCAAGAAGCGTTAACCAGACAAATGTTATGAGTTTCAATAAAGAAAGAAGATGAAGAATCATTATTTAGCTACAAAAGAAGAAATCAATTTCGTCAGCAAAATAATAAAGAATTTAAAGAAGGTAAATCTATAGGACGAGTTAAGGGAAGCTACCAG